TGAAAAGACGATGGATAAAGGAATGGTAGGAAAACTGGGAAGAAGAAAAGAATGGAAGAGAGAGAGAGAGAGAGGAAGAAAGGGAAAAGGAAGAGCAAGATGAAGCTGAGGGTGAAGAAAGAAGAAAAGGGGAAAAAGAGGTCTGCACTTTCATTATAATTAAGCCTTTCAATCAGCCTAAAGGATTTTACATATTTTAGTGTTAGTTTCAATACATTAAAGTTATTTTACTTAGCCCACAAAACAAAGTTGTAAAAGGTAATTAGTGAAAGTAAAATAAAAGAAGACAATGGAATTTACATCTACTACTATGTATTACGTTTACCACTATACTTTCATGGGTGAAGAAAAGTAACTATCAACACATCTGCACATCTAACAAAAGTCACTATCATGGCCCTCTCTAATACAGTCAGCTTTGACTTTAAGCAACCTTAAGACCAGGGACAGATCTAGGGGTAGTAAAAGAGGTGACAATAAGTCTCCCCCTATTACTCAAATTTCTCAGTATATTGTTAGTAACAGTCACCCCACTTTTCCTCGAATTTATATGTAATAATCGCCCCCTTTATAAAATTCCTGGATCCGCCTCTGAAGACGTAGGGATCAGCTTCCTCGAGTTTTTAGGATCCCAGTGGACACTCGAAGATTGGAAGGGAGTTAGTCAGGGGGTAGGGAGAGGAAAAGTAGGGACCCTGTCTTTACCGAGTACAAACRGAAAAGTTGGAATGCTCGCCRTCTAATATCATTAAAAGCCTTTGGGATTTCAAAACARTATTGTTCAAGCTCCACATTCTTTTACATTACAGCTGACTTTTGCAAATGATTTGCTTTTAAGATAGGCTGTCTTCATTCATAAAACATGGCAGCATTTTACCTAATGGGAAAAGGGACTAATGTGTTTATAAAATTAAAGAATATATTTCTGAAATATAATCTACTAAAAGTAAGCTGCAAATAAAGAATCGTTTGAATACCAGCCAGGCTATTTCATGTGTCTGCTTGCCTCAGAACTGTATGTATAAACCTGAATAAGGATGGAAATGTCTATTAATATTTGGAGCATGCCGCAAATGCAGAACTGTATTGGTGCATTCTTGACAATGAAGTAACATGTCTTGAATGAGTCTCCTGATAACCACATGACAACCATCTTCACACTAAAAGCAAAAAGATAATTATGAATAAACTAACAAACCTGTGGCCCCTCTTTGCAAAACAGAGATTTAGAAGAGCGATTTGTGAAGCTTTTTTTGGGGGGAGGGGGGAACCGAAGAAGAAACAGGAGAAAAATATGATGGTGATGGTGTTCAGGAGGCAGGAACAATTCAACAATCTGGTCTAATCTGATTTATATGAGAAAAAAATCAGTTTCCCAAGGGAAAAAGACTTTCATTGTGCCTTCTTTCATGGATATCATCACATGACGGTGCAAAGCTTCTATTAGCAGCACACACATCTGTGTTTTAAAAATAATAGACCTGAATGGTGATTATGGTGATTTTTCAAAATGGGTTTGCATTTATTACACCTACTGATCTAAGTTACTAGGAGAACCTTCATTTTTTATGAGGGTGGTGGTAGTGGGGCAGTGGTACTGTATTAGCTTGGTAATGATAGGGACTAAAAATGATGTCTGTGATGATCGCTGTCAAAAGAATCATAGGTGGAAACATTATTTTAAATATCTGGCAAAAATGGAAATGAACAAAATTTTGGCCTTTTGCTCAAAATTGCCTTGCTCACACATAAATTTGCCTGTAACACTTTTGACAGYGACCATCAAATCTCAAAACAAAACTATAATCCAATGTGTAGCTCCAGGAATTATCAATACCCCCTCCCCCACAGAGAAATTTGGAAATTCTGAGAGAGT